ATATTTACGTTTACTGGAGTAAATTTTCTATACCTTCTAAAGAGCAGAATTTGACATTTAGCCGGATTGACTTTAAGTTTCCAAGATTTGAGGTAATGTGCGATGATGTTAACTGCTTCTTCTAATTTGTCTACGGCAAACTGTGGTTTTAAAGATTTTGTAAAAATAGCGGTGTCATCTGCATATTTCACAAGTTTTGAATTTAGTGGGATTGGCATATCATTAGTAAAGATATTAAAGAGAATTGGCCCCAAAACACTTCCCTGGGCGACGCCGCTTTTGATTCTTTTTCTTGAGGATAAAGTGTTATTGATTTTGACATGAAAATTGCGATTTTTTAGATAACTTTGCATTAGTTTGATAAAATTTATAGGCAGATGAGCAAGGTGTAGCTTAAAGAGGAGTCCCTCATGCCACACCTTGTCAAATGCCTTTTCTAAATCTAGGAAACAGCTTGCAATAGTATTCTTTTTGGAAAAGGAATCGGCAATAAATTCAGTAACATTGAGAAGTTGATGTACTGTGCTATGCTGTGGGCGAAAACCAAACTGTTCATTTTGAATTATCCCTCTATCTTCCAAGTGTCTCGTCAGCCGTTTCTGTAGAACTCGCTCAAAAACTTTGCTAAGACTTGGAAGCAGGCTAATTGGGCGATAAGAGTTAACATTTTTTGGATCTTTGCCAGGTTTAACAAAAGTAATGATATGTGCCATTTTCCACTGCTGCGGAAAATAGTTAAGCCTTATGCAGGCATTAATTATGTTGGTAATTAGGACAATATATCCCTTGGGGAGAATTTTGAGCACTTTATTTGTTATCCCGTCGTAGCCGGGGGCCTTTCTATTTTTCAGATTTTTTATAATGTTTTGAATTTCAATGGGCGAGGTGTAACCAATATGCTGTCCATCTGTTCTATCAGGAAGGTGAATAATGAAATTAAAAACTTCCTCTTCTGTATCTTCATCTTGTGAGTTATTTGTCGTGAAGGTTTTTTCAAGATGTGTTGCAAGAACTTCTGCCATATCTTTTTCAGAATATGCGATTCCAGTATCGGTGTGCAACGGTCCAATGTTGTCGCTATGAGTTTTTCTGAGCGCTTTCCCAATACGCCACACTGTATCAGGGTTGAAGTCCATTGAGTCTAATAAATTATTCCAACTATCAGATCTGTATTCACTTAGAAGATTTTTAATATTCCTATTTTTTCTGTTAAGAATTCTTTTGATATTAGGATCAGCATTACGGCGCCAAATTTTAGCGGTGCGATTTTTGTCCTTAATTTTGTCAATAATGTCATCCGGAAGTTTTTCTTTTTTTATGTTCTTCATATTTAGTAGATTTGTCAAGAGCACTTTTTATACAATTATTGACCTTAGTGATTTGATACTCAATGTCAGTAATATCGGTTAAAGCAGGATGCGCTGGTAGTTTTTCCAGAGAATGAATGAATTTATCCCAGTTTGTGATTTTTCTAAGTGGAATATTTTTTCAAAGCCGTAATAAGTAAATCTGACAGGGAGATGATCGGAAGTTAGCTGGTGTGAAACTTGTAGGAAGGGAATTTGTGCAATATTTTTTGTGATAACAATATCAAGAACTTCAGCGCTGCCAGTATGGCTGTATCTGGTGGGATCCGTTGGTCCAAAGATACTTAAATCATTTGTAAGGGCATAATTATGAAGGAAGTTCCCGTTTGCATTTGCACGTCGAGAGTTCCAGGAGTGATGCTTCGCGTTTAAGTCTCCGGCTAGTATTGTGGGAAGCATAATGCCGCTAAAGATGCTCATGTCACTGTTGCTGATATTATGTCCCGGGGGATTATAAGCAGAAATAATCACAATAGGTTCATTAGTGCGAGAGTGAGCTATGATGGCAGTAGTTTCAATATTACTAGAACTTGGGAGATTAAAATAGGTGGCCTGCAAGTGTCTTCTGATGAGAATCAGGGTGCCACCACCCTGTTATTTTCTCTGTCTTTTCTAAAGGTTCTATAACCTTGGATGTTAAATTTATCACTAGCTCGAAGATGTGTCTCGTTAATTAAGAAAATATCAATGTCATGGCAATTAAGAAAGTTTATGATCTCAGTGTTCTTGCCGCGAACTCCGTTGGCATTAAAGAAGGCGAAATTTAAACTGCTGGAGGCAGTAAGTTGGATGCTTGCATAGTTATTTACAATATTAACACTCATAATTTAAATTTGCTAAAAGTTCAAAGGCTTCCCACCCTATTTGGAGCTTTTCCATTATTGACTTGGCTTTAAAAAAGCGTTCAAATAGCGCTTTGCCTTGAGTAAATAGATTTTTGATCCATTTCAGGAAATCCGGGGCGGAGCCTAATTGTTCTCTTTCGTGAGCTTCATTCTGGTTGGCTGATGAGGGACTGGCTTCATTAACATTTTCGTTAGTGTTTCTCCTACTCGGTAATGGGGGGAAGTTCTCCAAGTTGTTTTCTGGAGGATTTGTTCTTGTCTTTCTCCAGGCATCTCTTTGATTTTCTTTTTCAGCAATCTTACGTTTAATATTGTCAGGGTGCATTTCGCAACCCCTGTAGGAACTGACGTGGGGTCCCCCACAAAGGCAACACTTTCCTGGAAGATTTCTATCTTTTGTACAGCTAGTGGTGATATGGTTTAATCCGCACTTTAAGCATCTTGGTTTATGTTTGCAGTGGGAGCGACTATGTCCATATCTCTGACAGTTATGGCACTGTTTGTGTCCTGGGGTTGGTTGGAAAGAGGTAATTTTGACCGCAAGGTCCAAGATATGTGTTACCTGAAATATCTTTTTTCCTTCAACAGTCCGTGGGACTTCTACAAGGAAAGTTGGCAATTTGACAATTTCATTGTCAATCTTTTTGGTTATCTGTCTAACCGTTTTAACTGGAATTTTTAATTGTTGGAGTTCTTCTAATATTTCTTCAGGTTTAGTATGCACTGAAAGCTTCTTTATTACTACTCTAATGGGCTTATCCCTTGGTAGGGGAAAAGTGTGATAAGGTATTTCCTTATTATCCAAAAATTTTGTGACTGAGCGATAGTCATCGTCAGATTTGACTTTTATGTGGATGTCTCCACCTTTTTGTACGCACTCCATAGCTGTGGTAAATTTTTTAATTTCATCTCTAAGGGGCTTCCAAGACGTAACATCAGATATTATAATCGGCGGTACACGGTTTGCAGTTTTTCTAGGGGCTATGAATTCGCCTTCTTCTGATTGATCCATATCCTGAGGGTTTGTGTTGGGCGTTTGATTGACTTCCATGCTGTCATCTATTCTAAGGGTAGAATATCTATTTTTTATTGTTGTAACAGATGAGTTACTGCTATCACTTAAAGTACGCTTGTGCGTTTTTTTTTGGGTTTAATCCAAGTTTCGCCCTGCTTAAGAGAGTTATTGTCTTGCACATTGACATTATTCATGTTTTGTTGGGTAAGAATCTGACCAATTCCTACAATCTCATCAATTTCCTTTGAAGATTTAACATTTTTTAATTGCCGTTTACTGAAGAGTTTGGCTACCATAACCTGAAATAATTTTTCAACTTCTGGATCAACTATTTTTTGACCACTATCAATAAGATTTTTTTGGATTTGCAAATAGGTAGATATAGCATCTAATTCCTCTTCTGAACCACTTTCAATAAGATTTTCGATAACATTTTTATCATTAATTAAGTTTAAAGTCTGAATGTACTCTAAATTTGGATTCATTGCAACAGTCCAAAAGCCTACCGTCCCCAACGGAAAGGCAAGTCCATCACGAAAACACTAAACACTTGCAAAAATCAAAAACCAAACTCGAAAACTACTTACGCGCACGATCGATCAGGAACACTTCACCAAGCGACCAGCTCACAGTAACTCCAAAGCTTGAATTTTTGCGCAAAAAGAAGCAATGAACAAGGACCGCAGCGACTATTTACAATAGCAGAAAATGACCTCACTCTTGGCAGAAAGCCACAAACTTAAATACTTGGGCGTTAGCAAGACAATTTGCATAAACAAGTTGAAGCATTTAATTCTGGCCGGAAGTAGAAAATAAGAAGTGAAAGTACAGTTTTAAAATACAATAAACGTTAGTAAAACTTAGGATCTTTAAAATGTTACTTTTATTTTTCTCGTTTCATGTTATTTGGCGATACTCCTTTGTTATTTACTAATGGGTAGCATTCTTTAGTTTATAATATTGTTACAATCATTCTTACATAAGTAGTTTTCAAAATTTTAAATGCAACAATATTCACATTTATTTAGTTTTATTAGTTTAAGGTCATGTTGGAATTGTCATACCAAAAATTCCTTGTGAACTAGAAATACTTTTCATATTTAATTTATGAAAATACTCTCTTTGTGTTAGTAACTGAAGCATTTCACGAATTTCTTGAAAACAAATTCCATTAGATTGCGTGAACAATATTGTGTGATAAAACTTGCATTGATCAGAACTTTTTATGACAGTCTGCACAGTAATGCTTATTTCTTAACCTATTACCATCACAAGCCTTTTCCTAAACTGGGGTTTAATTTATTGTCACAAGGAAAGTTAAATATTGGCATGACATCATTTCATTTTAAGTTTCAATTGCTAACGTGCTTTTCCTACAATCTTGAAACGCAAAATAATTCTATTCTCACATAATCAAGAAATGCATGAAATTCATTGTTACGAGAGGAAAAAATCAAACAATGTATGAATGAAGTTACTGCATGGTCACTCTTTGCCTTGTAATTTCATTTTTCATAAACGTGTTTTGGAGATTTGTTTATTATTAGATCACTCAAAATGAATATGAGCCTTGTCTGAGAGTAATATATGTTTCTGGTAACAAAGGATGAAATTTTGAATGTTATCGGAAAGTTTAAAAGAAATGCTGTGTTTAATAGTTTCTTTATTAAAATTTTTAATAACTCAGCTTATACCATAGGCTAGCTTGTACTTTTATTTTCTAATCAATTTTGCTTTGTGACTTAAAACAATTTATTGAAATTTTTATTACAGAACCATCATATAGAGAAGACGAACCATATGTTCCAGGATCGAATTTTATTGAACGCCATCAAGAACATATCTTTGAAAAGAATTTATTTTTTCGAAGTGATTTTAAAGAAGTTTGGATTTTTAAAGATATTGCTATAAAGTGAGATGGTTTTTGAAAATTCTATAAAATGAATTCTTGAAATTACATGTTATTTATTCTGATTTTCCAATGTTCGGAGATTTGACTGTCAGGTTATATAACCTATTTAATAACCGTCAGGTTTTTAACCTATTTACCGTCAGGTTATATAACCTATTTAATAATGATAAAACTTTCTGTTGTATAGTCAATAAAAGGGTTTATTTTAAATCTCTTTCTGGGTTTACAGTCTTTTAATTAGAAGTTATGCCGGGATGATAAGTCATCTGACTTGCTTTACAGTTTTAGAAGTGAACATATCAGAGTCAATGTTCCTTCTTACCTTCTTCGGGAACATGCAAGGACCTGACTCGGAACAGAGAGCTTACTAAAGCTATGTTCACTAATTGTGGGAAGTAGACAGGATACACAAGAAGGGTATACAAAACCCTTTATTTTTCTCTATTTACAATAACTTCCGTACTTCGGAATACACAGACCCGCTACTTGGGGTCAAAACGTAAAAGTATAAAAATAAAACTAAACTCTAATTTAACTTTAGAATAATAAACGTGGAAGATTGGCCTTATAATAACAGGAAGCGTATGTAGTACAGAGAACTGTGAACACTACAATACGTTTAAATTTATCAAGAGGATTAAAACCTCTGGCCTGGAAGGCAACAAGCAACTGCGTAACTTCTAAGGTAAGCGGCCTGCTTCGACTCACTGCTTCCTCTCTCTCGCTTGGCAAAAAGCCACAACTTAAATACTTGGCGTTCGCCAGACAAACTTTGCATAAATACCTTCACGCTTATAATTCTGGCCGGAAGTAGAAAATAAGAAGTGATAGTAAAGATTTAAAATAAAATAAACGTTAGTAAAACTTAAGATCCTTACATACTTCCCGCCAGAGTTAATTAGTTTGAAACTGAGGTCTAAAACGACCTTGTTGAAAACTTTTAGCTCTAGAATCTAACGCGAGGCCAATCTTTTACAAATATTTTTCGCTAGAAACTAGAAATTTAAAAGAAAGAAATTTGTTTTTTACAATAGCAGCTCCCAGGATACACAATTTTTTTCATCTGTACTGCATCTAAACAGGAGCTTTTATTCAATTCTGGTTCCTTCCAGAGATCTGGAAGGAAAACTAGTTTAATGAAATGTTACACAATGAAATGGCAAGTAACATGTATAATTATATTTCTCTTAACATTCTTATTTCATTCATGACTATTTTAATTATCTCTCCCCGTGCTCTCTGACATGTGTTGTAAAAGAACACCAAACACGAATGTGTTTCTGTCTACGTGTTCCACACTTCCTCCTACAATCAAAACACTAACGTGTTAAAATTCAACATGACAAGACCTCGTAACACACCCTAATTTCAACTCTAAACCCTGAGGTACTATTCTGAAAGTGGCTAACTCTGAAGTGTAGCGTCAGAGAGCCTAACTACATCATTCAACCTTTAACACATATTCACCATGATTTAGTCTTTTTACAGTCACACGAATAAAAAAAAATTTAACATTCACTTTTTACCATATCATGGTATTTCTTACCATTTAAAATAACAGTTCACATTGTATATAAGAACATATCAACATGCCGTTAATCTTTACACATTGAAAACATACATTAGTAGTACATTGTTAACTTCTATTCTTTTCAAAGCAAGTGCCAATTCTTTCTACATTGAAATAATACATTTCAAAAAGTCTTTCAGACTAAAACTTCTTTCTTGCTAGAATGTTTTAAATAAAATTTATACAATAACTTTTTTACAATATTTAAGTCTTTACACAACGCTATTATACATCAACTTTAGTTTTACGCGCGAGTAATTGAAAAAACATAATACCAAAATCGGTAACAAACTGATTTCTCGCCCTTTTGGCGATAAAGGTAGACCTCGCATGAGGTAAAACTTCTTGAAATCTGCCACTTGCAGTAAGAATGAAAGATTAACTTAAGTTTGCAAAGTAACATAAAATTTTACTTATCTTTGTGATATTCGGACATCCTTTTCTGGGCCCAGTCCTTAAAGGTATTGCAGATAGTTGTTTGATTTATCCTCCTTCTTGTACGGGCTCGCCCTTCAGTGCCTTCCTCTGGAAGCTTCCTTTTTTCACCAGTTCGGTCACCCTTGAATACCTTCTTCTTCTCCTCTGCTTGTGGTCTTGGCCGTTTGATGGCAGCTGGTCTTGGCGGAACCGGGAAACTTCTTTCGTGTTCCTGCTTGGACCTCGTTGCTGGCCGTTCAAATTTTCCTTGTAACTTTTCCTCCGCCGTTGATGGCCCTTCCGCAGTTCGGCGACATTTGCTGAGGAGAGTCCTGTTGGATGAGTAGATCTTCCGTTTTAGAGCCGGGTTATAGTTGCCGTCATTTCTCCTGGTTCTCTTCACATCCGTCGTCCTTCTCCCTTCTTCATTCTGGGGGTGTTCGTGAACTCTCTTTTCTGGACGGTGGAACGGCTTCTTTTTCTTGCTACCTTCAATTTTTCCGCGGGGAAATTTTCTTTTCACTTGCTCCTGCCTCTTAATGGCTTGCCCCTTGTACTTGTCGTTTTTCCACCTCTGGAGCTTGTGCCTGCGGTGTCTGCCTGCCGTGCCGGATCCTGCAAAAGATCTGAAAATATTTGCATTTTATTACGATCGAAGTAGGGTTTTGATTTGATCAATGTTTGCGGAGCAGGTTTCACCACCATTTCTGGCTTTTAAACACTACTACAACAGCGTGAGTTATTTTTCTATAACATATGGTCCTTCAAATCGTGGAAAAAATTTGGCAGTCTTATCTTCTGGTGCTGAAGAAAGTGAATGCTTAATTTTTAAAACTTCATCCCCTACTTTATAAGTTACTCCCCGTCGTTTCAAGTCGCTAATATAATTTTTGTTTTCTCGTTTTCTCTGTGCTACTTCAGTATTCTTCTTTGCTTCCTTAATTAGTTTTTTCTATATCACCCATTTTAAATTCTGGGGGCTCTTTGTTGCACATAAAATAATTGATCTAACGCGTTATAAATCTTTCTGCCTAGAAATAACTCAGCAGGAGTTTTGCCCGTTGTATCATGTTTTGCGGTCCTAAGGGCGAAAGCAAATTCATTGACATAGTTATCCCAGCTTTTATGAAAATTTTTAACATAACTACTACGGATATTTTCACTATATTTCTATTGACCCGTTCCGCTATATTTGATTGCGGCCGATACGGGACCATTTTAAATGACGTCTGCCCAGTTTTTTGGCACATGTCTTCAAATATATTACTTACAAATTGAGGACCATTATCCGATATAAACTTTTAGGAGCGCCCCGTATTTTAAAATATATTTATTTAAAATAGAATCAGTAACTAATTTCGCGGAGGCTCGTTTTAAGGGAACAATTTCAGTCCATTTACTAAAATGATCAACCATAACAAGGAGATAGCGACTTTTATTTAACTGACTTTTTGGGAAAGGGCCCAATAAATCGATGCCAATTATTTCATTTGGAAATTCGGATTTAATACTATTTAGAAACCCGGCCGGGCGGAAATTAATATAATTAACTGCTTGACATATTGGGCAGGACTGGACATACGCCCTGTGCCCATCTTATTAACCTTGGGGATAAATTTTTCCCTGAGTACAATCTAGTTACCGCCGCATGATCAGAGTACACTGTTATTGGCGCCTTTCCAAAATAGACTCGGAACTTTTTGCACTGCTAACAGAACTGCAAGTGCCTCTCTCTCGGTCGCGGAATAGTTTCTTTGTGTTTGATTTAAAGTTCGGCTAAAAAATGCCACGGGCTGCTGATTTTGCGAAAACACCGCTCCTACCGCATAATCCGAAGCATCCGCTGAAATTTCTAAATTCTCATCCTTTTCAGGAAATTTCAACACAGGGACTTGCGTTAATGCTTGTTTAATTTTTCGAAAGCACTATTGGCTTCGGCCGTCCACGAGAATCTTGCCTTTTTCCTTTTTAATTTTAACAATGGCTCAGCGATAGCTGCAAAATCTTTTATAAAGGACCTATAATATGAACAAAGTCCTAGAAAAGAAGAGAGCTTCTTTGCCGTGTTTGGAGTCGGATACTTTTGTACAGCGATTATTTTTGATTCGTCTGTCTCTATTCCTTTCTGAGATATCTTGTAACCGAAATATTTTAATTCAGGGGCTGCAAATTTGCACTTTTCGACATTAACTTTTAGACCGGCCTCATTTAATAAAGAAAACACCTGTCTTAAATCCTGTACATGTTGGTCGAGATTATCACTAGTAATAATGATATCGTCTAAATAGATAAATGTGGACTTTCCAAGAACAGGTCTTAACACAATGTCCATGCATCGCTGAAATGTTGCCGGGGCCCCTGAAAGGCCAAACGGCATACGCAAAAATGCATAAGTGCCAGACTTGGTTATAAAAGCAGTCTTAGGCACGTCCTCAGGCCTAACCCCTATTTGAAAATAACCAGTCGTTAAGTCTAAAGTCGTCATAAATTTGGTTGATTTTATGTTCCTTAGAATTTCTTCTATGATCGGTAACGGATATACCGAATATTTAGTTATGGAGTTTAATTTACGGTAATCAATAGCGAATCTCCACCTTTTCGGATGTGTCAAAGGATAGTCATTATTTTTCTTACATAAAACCACCGGCCTAGCATAACTACTTGAGATGGTCGTTATGATCTTTTTACGTAGCATATCGGTGATATGCCATTCTATAATTTTTTCCTTATTCTTATCATACCGGTATGGTTTTTGGCGAACTGGCACTGCATCTCCGGTGTCAATACTATGGTTAGTAACCTGAGTAAATCCTGGAATATCACTAAATAACGAAGCAAATTCACTTACCACTTGTCGGATTCTTCCTTGCTCGTCATTAGGGAGGTGGTCAAGTTTTAACATCGGCGGTTCAGCCTTTTCTGCACGAACTGGTCTCATTGTCAGCTTAAGGGACGCTTCATTAAAATCCAGTGTTTGCTTGTGCGTCTGAAAGAAAGTCTATTCCTAAGATTA